GAGAGAGAGAGAGAGAGAGAGAGAGAGAGAGAGAGAGAGAGAGAGAGAGAGAGAGAGTCACAACACAATAAGTACAAGCACAAGTCCTTTTTTGGAAGCACCACTACCTTTTCCCATGTTGGCCTTGGGTTGGGCGTCCGATCTTTTGGGAGGCCAAAACGAAACGACAGCCGCCGATAAGATTTATCAACAGCGGACGTCGTTGGGCCCAGCCCCCGATTTTTTAGGAGTAGGCTATTTTCCCGTTTTTCTAACAGCGGGAAAGGTAGCAGTGGTTTAAGGTGTTTTAGACAGCACAAATCACAACAAGACATGTAGAAGCAGCAGCACGTGACAGCTGACATGCAGATGAAATCATCCACACCGATTCCACAGGTTACATCATTTGTTTTTGACATAGAGGTTACTAGATGAGGCCTGGACCCTTTCGCCCAGACCCAGTTTGACACAGAAGCATCTCCGGCACATGCCCAGAAAAGAAAACAAGATGGTGCAATCGTGAAGTTCATCAGGAATCACGAAGTGACACATCCCCTCGTGATGGCATTTAACGATGCACTCACACTGCTTCATCCTATAGAGGTGTGGTTTGGCTTGGTGTACCAAATGCTGGAGAGACTGCACAAGAGTGAGTGCATTGTCATGACACGATAGAAGGACGAACATCACGAAAGTGGACGGCACTAAGCTGAGTGACAGCCCGGTTGGAGGCGAAGTCCGAGGTTGTCTTTGGCATCATCGGCAACGAGGAGTCGTGGGTGAATCTGAAGAAGAAAATCATTCACATAATGCCACCGATGCGCAGCCTCCAGAGGCAGATGAACGGCGATAAGACTGCTGTAGGGGTGATGATCATTGACATATTGCCTTGAAGATGGGCACCTGCGCAGTGAGCAGAGAAGGGTCATGATCGCATTTACGCTCGATGCCATTGCCCATGGGCATTTTATATGTGCTGTGAGAGGTAATGCCTTGCATTATGTGTTGATTTCTTCGGATACGGTGGAGTGGCTGGGCAATTTGTCTTTGCGTGCTATCTTTCCGTGTGTTTCACATACCTTGTAGGTCTGTTGGGTGCCTAAGAGATGACTGTTCTTCTCTCAAAATGCTTATTATACAATCTTTCAGACATCTGGATGCTGGGTTTTGGAGGTTTCACTGTATGTGTCTTGTGTGGAAAGCTTGAAGCTTTTGTAGTAAGAACTTGTACCCCATCCCCCATCCCCCAGCCCCAGCCCCAGCCCCAGCCCCAGCCCCAGCCCCAACCCCCCTAGGGTGCCCAGGCAACTGTTCAGTTCTCAAGGTACTTTTTTGTGTAATGTCTTGTGTGGAAGCTTGAGACTTTTATACCCTAGCCCTAGACGCCGTAGACGGAGGTTTCACTGTACAGCATCATCAAGGATGACAGTTGATAAGTCCAGCTGTGCAGTACGACCGCGATTCTTCTTCTCTGTCCTTGGGCGTAGCTCAGTTGGTACAGCCCTAGACGCCGTAGACGGAGGTTTCACTGGACATGTCTTGTGTGGAAGCTTGAGACTTTTATACCCCAGCCCCCAGCCCGCAGCCCCCAGCCCCCAGCCCCGCACAACCTGTCCCCCCCTCCCCCCCAAAACCGAACACTCAACATGCTGGTTTCCAAACAAAGACTGCAGATTCCGGATGTTCTGACGGTGAGCAGTAAGTACCCGACATCTGAAACGACAAAAAGCTGAATCCTTTATGCTTCCTGCACGGCCGAGTTTGGTCGGGCAGATCACGAGTATTGTCCATCTCGGCCACGCAGTCCAGTCAGGGTACCTGGTAACCTAGCCTTATGCCCATTGATACCCACTGAAGACTCCTCTGATAAAGCTCATCCCGCTGAACCTGCACGTTGTGTGAGTTGGAAATTTCAAAGATGTGTGGGATAGGAATCAAATCTCTTCGCAAGTGCATCACTCACTTATCTTGGCTTTCACCAAATTAGCGCAAGAAGAGAAAAAGTGGAAAAAAAAAAAAAGAAAAGCCCAACGACGACTGGTCAACGAAATGCGCTGACAACCCCCCCACATTTCAAATTCTCCTGAAGTCCCTTTTTTTTAAGAGCGAGCGGGCGTGGTTTCTCCAATCTCTTGGTGGGGAGCAGCACCTGCTGGAAAAACGGGTCCATAATAGTCATACCTTCCGTTTATCCTTGAAATATGTCGGGCCACGTACAAGGAACAAGCTGCCTGGGGGTACGCTCCACCCATTACTGCCACCGTCAGCGTCCACTCTGGCCAAAGAACCCTTAAAAAAAGCGTCATCAAGGATGACGGCCGATAAGTCCAGCTGTGCAGAGCGATCGCGATTCTTCTTCTCTGTCTTTGGTGTTCCTGCAAGCAACAAGAGGACATTCGATTTCACTAAAGGGAGTCGCCAGAAAATCCCTGAGGGATATTTGGCTATCATTTATACACGCCTGAAAGAGTTGGATCACTGACTGAAAAGCATATGACAGAAAACATGTCGTGATTTTTTACGACAAATATAACATTATCTAGCCCTACGGGCCTATGCGCAAATTGCCAAATACTCTTCAGTTTTCCTTCAGTTTCTTTTCAAAATCCTCCCAATTCTGAATTTGCCCTTCAATTGCAATTGACCTTCAATTAAGTTCCCTTCAGTTTCCTTCAGTTGCCCTTCAACTACCCTACACGCAAATACCCATCAGTTTTCCTTCAGTTTCTTTTCAAAATCCTCCCAATTTTCCCTTCAATCGCAATTGCCCTTCGATTAAGTTCCCTTCAGTTTTCCTTACAGTTTCCCTTCAACTACCCTACGGGCAAATACCCTTCAGTTTTCCTTCAGTTTCTTTTCAAAATCCTCCCAATTT